GTCCTCCCTTAGGGGAGGAACGGTCTTGTAACCTATGTTCCTTTAGAAAGGGAGAAACGTTCGTCCCTGAAGCAGGGGAGCAACGTTCCTCCGTCGCTTGCATCTCAATATGGCGGCCCCGAATCGAGCAAATCGAGCCCAATAAGGCTTGACGAGGACGCTACGTCTCTTGCACGGGCCGAGAGCAGCAGCAAATAAACGCGTAACACGAGCTTTCCGCAAACTGTGTTTATTTCCGAAACCAGATTCCCCCCCCCATGTACAGAAACTTGCGATTCGAAAGCAGTTACTCAGTCTTCTCGTCGACAGCACTGCGATGTTAAACGGAGACAACCGATACCCAGTTACTTCGCGCACTTTGCGTCTTACCTTTGGTGTTCCTCGAGTCACAATTCCTCCGTCAAACGCACATCACGGAGAACGGCAAACTCAATCCGCGAAACCAAAAGCCGCTCTCGAAAGAACAAACTCGAAGCCGCTGGGCCGGCTGGGCCGCTGTTTATCGCGTAGCGTGAAAGGTTAAATCGCTAGCCACCAGATGGCGGGGTCAAGCAGAGTAATTGCAAGTAGCTAGGCTAGGTGGCGCTAGGTACCGCCCAATTCATGTTCTACAAAAAATAATTTGCTCTTCTCGGGCCACTACTGCGCTTGAGGATCCTCTACTATACACACATTACGCTTATTACAAGCATCAGGTGAACATACATTGAGCACATACACGACACACACAAACATCAATACAACAAACACCACACTTTTTTTTTTTCTTTCTTGAACACAGAATGCAGCATACGAATGCTAAGTCAATACACACACGAACCGCCCAACAACTTGTGGGCTAACTAAAATTCTTTCATATTTTTCATCGACTCAAACAAGCGTGTCCAGTCGGGCGCAGTGTCGGGGGACCTGCAGTATACAGACTGTACCTGCGTAACCAAATCAATAAAATGAAGCCGCGCAGGTTTAATGTGTGGGTTTGCATGATGCAGTTCCATTCGGGTTTTCCACAAACTAAAGAGGCCAAGTACCATAAATAAATCATAAGGAACCGGGTCTCCTTCTCCGACTGGCAGAAAACGGATAGTTTCATGTGTTATAGTCAGATCCTTCTTCAACGTCCTCTGTAGAATATCCCACAAAAACACCGCATCCCAGCAATGAATAAAAATGTGTTCGGTTGTTTCTGGTACTTTGCACAAGAGGCAGTCAAGCGACCAGGGAACAAAAAATCCCCTTTCCCTCAACCACGGCTTGACAGGTAAGGTGCCGCTATGTAGTTTGAAGAAGAAGGACTTGACTGCGGGGGGGACACACATTTGTTTAACGCGGAACAATACGTTTTGCCCTGGACAATGGCTGTAAACAGTGCGATACAGGGGCGCGGGAAAAAGCAATTCAATCAAATCTCACGACAATCTCTTTTTCTTTACACTCTCTAGGTACCCCATAGAAAATCGTGCTTGTAAAAAGGAGGCAGCATCTTTCACCTCTTTCAGAAACCCAAAAAGACTCAAAGGTTCACCACAGTCGCTTGTTACTAGCATAGAGGGCAGTGCGTTCGCCAGTTTTATCTGGATAACAGTTCGTAAGAAAGGATGGTTCTGGCCTCGAAGAAGGGCGAAACGTGAGACCAATTGTCTCGCAAACAAGTGGGTGAGTCCCAGTCCACCGACTTTGACGCGGCGGAAAAGGTTATCCCGCCGCGTCCTCTCCCAGCTGGAATTCCAGACAAAAGTGGCGAATACTCAGTGGAACTTTTGTATGCTCGTTCGCTTGCATGCAAGCACCTGCAACACGTACCAAAGTTTTGCGACGAGAAAAATGATGCACACTGTGGCACGGGTAAACATCGATATATCACGGTTTGCCCACGAGGTTGCCTTTGATTTTAAATCTCCTAGGACTTCGGCCCAATATGGCGTGCTATTTTTGTAGTGCTGTAATGGTACTCCGAGATAGGTGGTTGGTGTGTCCGTCCAACTTACGCCTGCAAAGGATTGAGGTTTTGAGACCCAATTTCCGTGCCAGAGTCCGCAACACTTTCCCCAATTAACTGCGGCCCCAGTGACATCACAGAACTCTCTTGTTATCCGCGCGGTTTCCATTATGCTTTCTTTGTCGCAGCAAAAAATCGCAACATCGTCAGCATACGCTGACACCTTGACTTCAACCGCGTTTATGGTAAAGCCCCGGATGCTTCTGCAAGCTGCAACTTTTAAGCAGAAAGGTTCTAGGTAGAGCGAAAAGAGTAACGGCGATAAAGGACAGCCCTGCCGCACTGATGTCTGTATTCCTATGCGTTCTGATAAACAATTATTTATTATCAGCCTCGTCCCACAGTTGTTATAAGCCATTGCGATGCCCTTCAAAATAATTTCCCCGACATTTACGTGAGATAAAATCCGGTTAAGAACGTCATGGCGCACTTTATCATAGGCTTTTTCAAAATCCAACTGAATCATAGCTACGCGACCTCTCCCTACTGTTTCCAGAATGCTCCTTGCGACGTGTATGTTGGTTTGTATGGACCTCCCTTGCATGCCACAAGTTTGGTCGTCGCCGACGAGGTTGCGAATAACAACTTGTAGACGGCGCGTTAGTACTTTGGTAAAAATCTTATAATCTGTGTTACATAGGAAGATAGGCCGGTAGCCTGTTACACTGCGTCTTCTGATCATGTCATCTGATTTCGGTATAAAGATGGTGTGAGCTTCTGCAAATGAGCAAGGTAATCTGTATTTTGTGTATGCTTCTTGAAATATTGAAAGTAGCAAAGGGCTGACAGATGTTTTAAAGGTTTGATAAAATTCTGCGCAGAGACCATCTGGTCCCGGTGTCTTCTGTTTTGCTAGCAAATCAATAGCTTTTCCAATTTCTCCTATGGTGATGTCCCCTTCCAGCCATATTCTCTCGTTTTCGCTTAGCTGAGGCATGAGCTTCAGATAATTATCGAGTTCTGTGAAACCTTTGGGAGTCGGCTTTTCGCCAAAAAGCTTAGCGTAAAAATTGACAAAGCATTGCTGAATTGTTTTTTGGTCTCTACTGGTTGTTCCGTTGAAATCTATTTCATGAATCTCTTTCGCCAAAGCATACCTCTTTTCGTCGGACAAAGCCCGTTTTGTGGGTTGTTCTCCCAATAGATATTTCTCAGACCGTGAGCGTATGACAGCTCCTCTGTACTTCTCTAGGTATAATTTGTCTAGTTCTGCTTTAATGTTCCGAATATCACCCATGCTTGTTCCAGGGTTTTGGTTTTCTAATCTGTGAAGTGCATCTAGGTTACGTTTTAGATGTTTTTCGCGCTCTGTCTGTTGGAACTGAATGTTGCTGGATCTTTCAATCGCTGCTAATTTAACTTCCTCTTTAAATTGCTCCCACGCCTCGTTTAGTTCCCCCCTCGTTTCGCTCATACGCTGCAACAGTTCGGTAACAGTGCCAATAAACTGTTCATCCTTCAGTAGAGTTCTGTTCATTTTCCAGAGGTGCCATTGAAACTTTGAGGCTGCACTTTCCTTTTTCCCTATTTTAACGGTTACAAGGCAGTGGTCTGTGAAAAAAATGGGTTGGGCGTCATATTTATGTACTTGCTGTAACATGTCGCAGGATAAATAAATGCGGTCAAGACGGGCATGGGAGGACGCTTGGAAATGGGTGTATTTCAAGCAGTGCGGTGGGGCACACGAGGTGCCCACGTCATCTAGGCCACAGGAGACTATCATATTTTTCAAAAGGTTCACGCTATTGTCACTTATTCTGGTGTGAGAGGACTTGTCGCGTTCATCGCAAACGCAGTTGAAATCCCCCATCAATACAACTGATCTGTCGCACTCTACGTAGCTGGTTAGAAACTGGAAAAACTGTTCTCTGTCCGCTGCATTATTTGGGGCATAGACGCAAATAACCCGCCACTGAACATTTGCTAAAATAAAATCACACGAAATAAAACGACCCTGTTCATCTACAGTCACATGCAGATCGGAAAGGTTAACAGACTTTTTCAAGAAAAGAAAACATCCCGCCGAAAAACCTACCGCGTGGCTAACGCATACTTCGTAATGAAAAAGAAATGGTTTTATCGCAACAGCAATGTCGTTATCATTTTCCATTTTCGTCTCCTGCACAGCAAAAAAATCCGGCTTCGCGTCAGATAACAAGCGCTGCAGCTGATATCGTTTCTTCCTCGAGTTTAATCCTCGAACATTGAGGGTTGCGAAACTGAGGGCCATTTAGCGAAAGTTACAAAGAAAGGCAAGATCGTGCAGCGATAATGTCTGTCTGACGAGAAAAAAAAAACACAAGAAAAAAACAAAACAACCTCACTCACAAAGCGGAGCTCTCCTTGGCGGAGGCTTCACCGCGGGTGTTGTCGAGGCTTGTCTTGAGCGTTGCCGAGGCTAGGGCCGGAGGTCCCCCGTGGTGCCTGCCTCTCTTGGTCATCACCACCTTCCACCTGTCCTGAACCGTCTGCTGAAGTCCCTTAGATTGGTCGCCGTCCCGTGCGTCCGCAGTCGGAAGCGGTCGCTTGACGGTGCTAGCCACGACTTCCACACACTAAAAGTTTTTACACCTTTAAGGGTGTAAAAGGGGTGTTTTGGCATTTTACACCCTTGACTACACCCCTTTAGCACCCTTAAATCAGCTACTGCACCCACATTATTGTACCGAGAGGGGTGTTGTTTCGTGTTACACCCTCCATTTAGTGGAGGGTGTGAGAAGGGTGTAGAAGAGGGTGCTAAATAATAATATGAAAGGATTTCTGAAACCTTATATGTGGACCTCCCCATAAATGTATAGGTTAAATTTATGCTTAAAAACATCGGTTGTTAGCAGTCGTTTTTTATAATGTTAGTTGTAATTCATGCAAATAGTTGATAATAAAGTGCCTCTCCTGCGTGCAATTTTTTGTGTTCACAAAATTTTATACGAGTTCATATTCAATTTTCTTAAAAATTACTCCATCCACAAAAAATTGGAAACCAGGGAGAAATTCTGAATGCTATCATTTTTTACAAATATTTATTGATCGAAGTGTAGCAGTAAGAAAATCAGTCTCCAGTTTACTTCTGACAACACAACATGAAATCAAAATATAATATGTTTGACAAATATTCATGACATGCTGCCAGAACCTGTCACATTACCATGTCAACCTATGAAAAATATTGATTTGAAAATATGACGACATGCACAAGAACTCACACACATAAAGAAGCAGAACCCATAAAAAACCAGTCCGAGACATAAGACTTCCTAAAATATGGGCTAATGCAGTATCCTGGTGTAGATCACACAAAATCTGGAGAACCAGGAGAAAAAAGGAGACATTTGACTTTACTGTCGACAGTGACATCATTCTATTTTTACATTTATCAAAAGAAAAAAACCAAGAAAAATAAGCTGTCTTGTCCAACCATTTTAAACAATCAAAAAGCTAATTCTACTCAGTGTGTGTTGTCCAACCAGTTATCGCAGCAAGAGTCAACTGAGAAAAGGTGACAGTTGTTTTCACTGCCTGTTTTTCGACTGTCTCTCATCGTTGTTTAGCTAGTTTCTGCAGAGAGCACCAGAACTGAGTGGGCTACCATTCAATGATCCATGAAATCTCATAGCAATGAGTGACGTGCGCTTATAACAGTCTGTCCTTTGTGCTCCCGCATGTATAATGGTTCTGTTGTACAGTCTGTAAGTGATGTTACAACTTTGAATTCTTGCGTCGCACGGACAACATAGACGTGAAAGTGCTCGTCGAACCGGACTGTCTCAAGCACATTCCCCAAAGATAAAAGCACTTTGTTAACATAAAAAATTTGACATATATGCAGAAATTCGGGCAGAGCATCGTCAGGAACACTTTGGACAAGAACACATCCTGTTTTGTAGACCCTGCCTTCTATGCTCACAGAGTTCGCTACGAATGAATCAACAGTTTCAAGATCATGCTGAGAGATAAACTCCTTGACGCATTCAGGAAGATGTTCACAAAGTATGGGGCGACAACCTGTTGTGATGGGAACGCTCTTCTCACCAACAGCTGCAAAAGAGAAACACTGCAAAAACTGATGCCTCACTGCTAGACTGTGCGAAAGACTCTTAAAGTTGCGGATTTTACGAGCCATGTCTTTGAAATATTGGTGCTTTCCCTCGAAGCGCATCGCCCAAAGTTCAACTAATGGTCCAAACCTTTCCATGCACGACGGATAGTGAATAAGGTAGTGCATTTTGCAAGGAACTTTAACAGATGGGAACAATGTCTTGAAGTCGAGACAAAAAAAATGAATCTTCCTTTGCAGGTAGCCAATGTGCGAGACTGGGATTTTCCGGCTCATGATGATATCCATGATTTCGCGAAAAAGCAAGTAAAGTTGCCATACTTCGTGTTCTGTTGGAACACATTCGCCAACGAAAAAGGTTAGATGACGAAATAGGCAAAAGACCTGCGTGGCTGATCCTTTCATGGTTGCCTTTCCTTTAAGAAATTCACTAGAAATAGGCTCTGGCTTATTTCGCGCATCACAAGGGTCATAATTCCACTCACTAATTTCCTTGTTTAACTGTGCAAGAGTAAAAAGTCCTTGTGATATTAATAGGGCTGGGCAATTGATCGATTAACCTTCCGATTAATCGATTAAGGCTTTAATCGCGATCAAGTTTTTTAGCCGGTTAATCGGTTTTTTAATTGGTACTCAAAAGAAGTCCGTTCCCAGCCAGGTGCTATGAGCAAGGTTCGATTCTCGCGCTCGCGAAGCGTCACGTGTTCTGCCGAGGCCAGATGAACAAGCCGGGCCCGCAATTGATCCCCGCGTGACCGCGAAACTTCACGTATTGAGGATCTATTACAAATCTTGCCCAGGCAAGACAAACAAGTAGAGAAACAAGCTGGGAAACTAACAACGCCATGGTTATTTGTTCCAGTATTCGGCACGTAAAAATGGACGAGTTCACAATTATGAAAGGCATATCTCGATGGAAAGTTTGGGTTTAAAGTAAGCTCCAGCGAGTGAAGTTTTGAACTCGAAGGAAGTCCACTGCATTATCTGCAGAAAGCCGTTTTCGTACAGTGGAAGCGTAAGTTCGCTTCAGTATCGCCTACAGGCGAAGCACACATGTAGCTGCAGCAAGGACCCTCCGCCAAAATGCAGACTACAATCAACGCCTTCTCATCGAGGTTCCTTTCTCTGAAAAAAGAAGAAAGCATCGCCCAAGCTCTGACTTCTTGTCTTCCTGTCGGAGAACGTGGACAAACATCTTTGTCTTCGTAGCTGGAGCAAAAATATGTGTCTTTGAATCGTTGAACTATATGTATCCTCAATTCTAAATGTCCTTTGCGCCATGTAACAGAGAATAAAACAAGTCTTCAAAGGCAAGACAACCGATTAATCGATTAATTAATCGATTAAAGTGTGGCGATTAATCGGGTTAAAATTTTTAATCGACGCCCAGCCCTAGATATTAAGGAAGAAATGATGTGTCTTAGTGCAAATGGTATAACACCCTCGTGCAAGTCGTGCATAACGTCAGGCGGAAAATGCTGTGTGGCATTGAACCCCTGGCATGTAAGAGCACAAGCTGCAGTGACCCCATACAATGATGCAGTTGGCAGTCCAGCCTTCAACATGTTCATATGATGCTCGTGACCTTCCGGTGTGCGCAGCACGAAATCGGTCTCCAGGTGCTTGTAGTTGATTTCACAGTGCACGGCCATGCAGAACCTGCAAATCCTACCTTTGTTGAAACTACGTTTAAAGCCTCCCATTCTATGGCTCGACAGATTATCCCCAGTCAAAACAAAGACTGACCCTCTCATCACTTTTCCGTTTGCAACTATGCCTTCAGTTTCTAATCTGCTCACATCCTCAAGCAAAGGTGCAAGAATCTTAGGCAGACCATAGGAGTCCACATGGTGGTCATTCACTAAAAGTGCCAGGTGCATTCCTGATAGCGCAGAGCGGAACCTTGCAGGAAAATTCAGCACTGAGAAATACACGGCGGTCATCTTATGCTTTCCTCTTTTGCTGCCCAAAGGGTTGCACACCTCAAATTCATCAGTATATAACTGCAGGCAGATTTTGTGATGGTCACCTTCAAAGTAGGCATGGTCGCGAAATGCACTGCCATCAAACACAGAACACATATGGTTGTCAACCTTTGTGTAAGCATTAAAGTCACCCGATAAGGTTGGATGTTCAAGGATACACGTGAGGAGATCACAGAGCGGCACATACTCCATGGTGTCGTCTTTTCCATTGCTGTTGGTTCCTAGCACTACTGTACGGGGCTCAACAAGTGGAAGATGTGTCCTCCAGAACGCGTTCCGGCCAGCTGTCGTCAGTAGCCGGTCCAGTTCGTCAACACAGAATAGCTCCCTCACGTTGGCGGCCACCTCGTTGTTGAGCTGGAGTTGTTTATGTTCCAAAATGGATTTTACGAAAGAAATCACATCATTTGTGATTTCATCTAAGGTTGATTCTGGAAGTCGCCTTCCCTCTTTCCACTTGAGAAGAAGGAGAGCCAGCTGCTTTACACAGCCGCTTGGACCCTGGGTGGATTCACACACTTGTGAAGTCTCTGTACGCAGCTCCTCTTGCCTTTCTTCTGCGTCCGGATTACTCTGTACACCAACGTCATCACTTTGAAAGGCATCCCCAACACTCGGTGCTGCATCCACCAGTTCATTCGCTCCCACGGCTCTTTCTCTTTCGACTGATCCAGGGTGATTTCTGTACACATGTTTTTTATAGGAAGCGAAGAGTTTAAATGTCCGCATGCAGCCACTTAGGCCGCACACCCAGTTGCTTTCGTACCCATGAACTGAGTGAAAGTGCCTGAATAGTGCCCTCAACGAAAAAATGTGGGACGCACACCTTGGGCACCGGAAGTATCGGACACCTGGCATCTGAAAAGAAAGAAGCCCTCTTTTCATTGATATGACCTTCGTTACGTAAGTTTGATGCTCACACTACACGCAATCAACAAGAGGCAAAGTGCAATGTAACGTTTCTAAACCCGAGAAACACCGAAAAAGGAGATGCACACACAAACGAAAAAAAAAAAAAATACACGCAGTCTCTAACACAGCTGTGAACTCTTCGAGACGGTGGGTGTGTGGTCCTTTTCCGTGTCTCATTTCTGTCCTCTTGTGTTTAAAGTTTACCAACGTTTTAAATTTACCTTCTTGCCTGTGCCTTTACTCTTCCTTCAGTTGCACTGACATGCAGGTATCGAAGAAATAAAAATCGAGAAGAGACAGAAAGGACAAAGTCGTGCCTTGTCCATCCTTTTCCTTTGTGTCTTTTCTGTCCATGTTTTCATTTCAAAGGACCGAGGAAACATAAAGAGCACAATCTCTTCCGACATTAAACATTACAATGTGGCGTGAAGTATGTAATTGCAATAAATTAATTTCTGCGTCAAGATAAACTAAGTTGGAAGTAAGTTTAGAGAAGATAAATTATATCATATGCCATTAGTCAGTATCATATATAAAGTTACTCGCTTCTTTTTGCCGTACTGAGTCATCGCTTGCGAACATGACTCTAAACGACAAAGCATAACTTTTATTTGGAAATATTTGTAAAACATAGAGCACGGCCACTAAACACGATGACAGGGTACAAGAAAACACATATTTTCAACTTTCAACACACAAAGTATTGTCGAGTTAGAGCAGGGGTAACCTCGCTTTACTGCAGTGATGTGATTGGCCTAAGCCGTTTTGGAGCACCCTCTGGAGCAGCCAAAACAGAGTTGTGGAACAGCAAATCTGGCTTTTGGAGCAGATATCCGTAGAGAAAAATATATATTCATTTCAAGTAGTGGACAAACGAAGGACACATTGCTCGCCGCAATCAACCAATTATTGTTAACATAGACCACCTGGGAGTCTTTCAACATGTAACTGAAATGCCAATGACATGACACATTTTGTAATGCTTCAGTTTGTGGCGATAGCCATTGAAAAAGAAGATCGCGTGGAATAAAAGTGCCACATCAGCTCGATTTTGGAATTTGTCAGACGTAGCCGCTTTTCGTCTGTCTTTTTCTACATTTGGTGACCCGGACGTGATACAAATATATCGGACCACATGTTTAAATTTATTTGAAAATGACCAGCTTAGTAGTAGATATCACATTATTAGGTTTATTAGTAATACAATAAATGGAAGCAATCTCCGACTGATGAAGCACGTAACTACTGCCTTGTAATGCAAAATTGTCGCGCGAGCGGAGATGGCTGTTCGATCGAAACCATGCCACTCCGCTCCGCCTCAACTAATTCCCAAAATTGTATGCAAAATGTAACTGTCCAACATACGAGAAAAAAAAAAAAAAAAGTCCAGCGGCACGTTCTTGCCAAGGCGGCAAACGAGGTACAAGCTAAACACAGAAAGAAAGAAAGCAAAAAAAAAAAAAAAAAGAGGAAAAAAAAAAAAAAAAAAAAAAACCTGAGCGCATCGATGCAAGACATCGCGAGCCAGGATCAAAAAGTTCTTGGATCGGTTTGTGCAACGACTGAACTCGAGACAAATAAGCACGCTGTGCGGGTTCAGCATGCGGACATTGCGTTCTTTGCTTTAGCTCACTTCTCTTCACCAACTTCCTTTCGCGGCTCATTTTTCACGTACCCGGGTACGTCTCGAAAGAAAGCCTACCGAGATTAACCTAGGTAATCAATACTTCGACACTGCAGTCTTTGAGCTTAAGGTATGTTTGTAGTAGCGCATTAAACAAGAACAGGATTGTCCTTACGTTTCAGTTCAGAAAGTGCCATTACTGCAGTGACGTGGGGACGGCAACACCCGATGTCGTGCGACCACAGTGACTGGAAGGCAGGGACCAAATATGGTTGGCCACGGCCGTTGCTTTTAGGAGCGAGTGCTTCAGCCCATAAAATCACTCCCGCCGCGCAAAAACATGGTTTCGTTTCACAGCATGACGGCATGGCTGGTAACCAGCACGCTAGCGTCGTAGCGTCCGCACATGCCCATGTCTATGATTAAATTTTTTTTAAAAGACGCGAGACTAGAGACGGCAGGAAAAACCATGCAAGACCAGATGAACGATTGATGCAGGGTACTGTGTCGGACGGCTGCTTGAACCACCTAGCTCATGTGTGCTCAATTACGGTACCCGGTTTAGTTTCGGTTTTCAAAGGCGACCAATATTCGTCCTTTGGCGCAGGCTACCGTAGCAGGACGTAGCGGGGTTAGCCCCTTGGCGCAGTTTGGGGCAGCAATCCCATCAGTGCTATAGAGAGTGGCTCCAGAGAAAGCCGCGTGAAGGGAACGGTGCGAAAACGAAACTTGCCGAAATAGCGGGAAAGAACGGAAGGAAAGGCGGCATCCCGATTTCTTTCCCACCAGCATGTTCATTCGCCCGCTCCGCCAAGGCTGCCAATTTTCGGTGGCTCTGCTCTGAGGAAAAAGCTGACTTTCTCTCTCCCCGGCGCTTCTTCCACGGCGAGATTTTGTGGCGGGTGGAAGATAACGCGGAACGCAGCGTGCGTCAAATTGACAGGAGCAGGCAGAGACCGAAATCAACGCGTCCTGGGTCATATATACCTTTGGATGCGTACGACGTCGCTCGGATGTGATGCTCTGCAGTGGCTGTTTCGTTAGTCAGGACGGGAAACCGAAGCAAGTGTCCACACGGCCACACCACGTGAGTGGGGACAACGTGGTCAGGACGGGAAACCGAAGCAGGTGCCCACGCGGCCACTCCACATGAGCGCAGCCAACGTAAAGTAAGCCGTGACAGCCCTCCACGCGCTGCGAGCAGTGCCAGCAAATGCTGGACCAGCGTTACCAGATGGAAAAAAAAATCGAAGTCAGTAGATGGGCCCCATACATATCAGTAGATCACCAAACAACCAGTAGATACTAAAAAGAAAGTAAAAAAAAGACCTTTGTGTATTTCTCATTGGTCTTAATACATAACATAACATCATAAATAATATACTAAGAAACACACGTAGAAATTAGTTGCGTTTTTTGCTTGCAGCATTTTTTTTTTTAATTCCAATTTCCAGCGGCCAGGTGTAAAACACATTTTTTTCCAGAAAGCAAAATGATTACCCTTAGTACTTTCCAACGATGTAGGTACATTCCCATGCTGTATTCAACGAGCTTGTATATACTTTTTTTCTTTTTGGAGGGGGCCGGAGGTGTAAAATGGCCGCTATCTGAAGAGTTGCCGCTTCTCATAGTACGTGGACGACACTGATCTCTATGACAATTGTGGACGAAACCAAGCAAAGCCAAAGACGTATCCGTTCCGAAAGTACGCGCGTACGCGCCTGCGTTGGCCATTGAGATCAGTGGCGTTGGCTGCATACGGCTTTGGGTAGATGAATCGAAGGATACGTAGATGCATATGTATAGTTTCGTTCTTAATAATTTCACATGCGTTTGATGGCTAACATGAGAACAGCCCTTCAAAATTGTGCATTGCTGTGCCCTTGAAATGTTTTTTCATTCTGTTGAAAAGAGGTCTCCGACACTCCACTCAACTTTGGCGGGGTGGCGGAGAGCAATATAGAGATCAATGGCGGAGTGTGGCAAAGCCGGCAAAGCAGCTCGACCATGAGCTCGGCGCTCTATGCGGTGCAAGGTGCCGCCATTACTTTCTGGACGTTGCCTGTTTACGCCGTTTACGTATCCTCAATTTTGAGAGCTGTCGAGTAGTAAACTTGTTAGTGAGCGCGTTGGTAATGATATAGGTTTCAGAAAGAGTTATATACGTAAAGACAGGGGACGGGACAACATATCTTTCAACTTTCAACAAACAAATGATTTATTGCCGGACGCTTCTCCTTCGGAGCTCCACTACAGGAGAGGGAAAGTTAAAAGGAGGGAGAAGGGAAAGAGGGGGCAAGACAAGGCCCCGGGAGGAAACTGCGGGAAAGTAAAGCGCAGAGACAGCGGGAAGGAGAGGAAGGAAGGAGGCATCCCAATTTCCCTCTCAGGAGCAGGGACCACTCGCCCGGCCCGTCAAGGACGTCAACTCCGGTCTAAGGAATGTCACCTCCCTCGACAGCCCGCTGTGTTCGCCCCCGCAACGGTCTCCCTGTGTTCTTACACCTCCCCTCATCGCCCTCTCCTCTTTCCCCATCGCCTCCCCAAGTCGAGCTCTGAGCGGCTAGCCGCCCCAGTAAATCTGTAGCTGCAAGTCGAAAGCTGTGTCGTCTGTTTCGTCCTCTTGTGTGTTTCTTTCGTTTTAAGTCAATGGAAATGTTCTTCGGCGCCTCTTTTATAGCGTACGCCTCCACGATCTCGCGCCCGTAGCGGTTCTTGATGGCCCCCAAAACACGCGCGGACGGGAACTCGGGGGCACATGGAGCGCAAACCTTGAGGTGATGGACCATGGGGTGTTGGGAGCAGGGGCGGATTTAGAGGGGGGGTCCGGATGTCCTGACCCCCCTCTTGAATTCTGCATGTGTAAAATTTAGGGCGTGAAACGAGGGAGAGGGGGGGGGGGGTCCTAAACATGTGGTGCGCTGACCAACACCTGACCCCCCCCTCAGGAAATTCCTGCATCCGCCCCTGGTTGGGAGTCCTCGTCGTTTTTTTTTCTATTTCTCTCCTATGTTCGCGCAGGTGGCAGTTGAGGCCGCGCCAAGAGGCACGCGGCCCCTTTCGTTCCCTGCGCGGTCGGACGGGTGTATTCCGTGCCCTTCTCGTGCGGGGCAGAGTACATCGTACAGACGGGCCGCTGCCTCAACGACCGCCTGCGCGAACATGAGAGAGAAATAGAAAGAAACGAGGGGGACTCCCAACACCCCATGGTCCATCACCTCAAGGTTTGCGCTCCATGTGCCCCCGAGTTCCCGTCCGCGCGTGTTCTGGGGGCCAACAAGAACCGCTACGGGCGCGAGATCGTGGAGGCGTACCCCATAAAAGAGGCGCCGAAGAACATTTCCTCGGCCTCGCTGTCGCTGTCGGAGAGAGAGGTGACATTCCTTAGACCGGAGTTGCCGTCCTTGGCGGGCCGGGCGAGTGGTCCCTACTCCTGAGAGGGAAATCGGGATGCCTCCTTCCTCCCCCTCCTTCCCGCTGTCTCTGCGCTTTACTTTCCCCGAGTTTTCTCCCGGGGCCTTGTCTTGTCCGCCCCCTTCCCCTTCCCCCTCCTTTTAACTTTCCCTCTCCTGTAGTGGAACTCCGAAGGAGAAGCGTCCGGCAATAAATCATTTGTTTGTTGAAAATTGAAAGATGGTGTTCTCCCGTCCCCTGTCTTTACGAATAGTAAAGTGTTTTTGTTTAAATTCTTAGTTTTGGCGCGGTTTGTTCCTGAAGTATTTTCCGGAATATAGTGTGTGCTTAAGCTACACTAGGTGGCGCAAGCTGCCACATATACACCATTAACCATCGGTTCAGCCATCTATCCACCCACAGCCTTCACCCACTTATCGTTCCTTTGTTCTGTTTGGCGCGTTACTTGCGGTGGTGACGAATGACGGTTGGCGAGTTTACCGAGTTGACGAGCCAAACGAATGTCAGTATTTTCGCGCCTAGCTGCTCGCGTGGCTTTAGCAGCGTTCGACAATGCCGCCCGTGCGGTGTCTGGTCACCGTGCCTCACCTACAGGCTGCCAGGTCTTTCAAGCTCGAGGATGGATCGGTAAACTCTTTGAAACATGCGGTGGCTACGTGCCCCGTTCTTGGGAACTCCATCAAACTGTCTTCTGTCAGGTTTCAGGCAAGTGCCTCGTTTCTGTTGACATTTTCCCCGTGCTCGAACTGTAGCAGGTCACAGTAAGCTAAGTAAACGAAGGATAGAGAAGACACCGAACTGCGAAGCTGTGAACCACCTAATCCAGAAAAAAATATCGAAGTGATAAGATTTTAACCGCCTAAACCACCGTCATCTTCGAATCTATCTTGGAAAGGGTACATGTTATATGAGGAAATGACGTTTTAGCGCGAAGAGTAAAGTATAGACCGCATGAAAGCGATTTGGCGAGTGACGAGGCAAGCGTCGGTGAACCCGCTTCGCTGTCGCTCGGTCACTCGCGCGACGAGGCAATCCGCATGAAAGCAACGGGAGCAAGCGACATTGTAATCCAAAAGGAAGTGTCTAGAGTTCCGTCCAGGCGGAACGATGGTCGCCACTAAAGTAACGTCCAAGTTGGGTCTCGTATAAAGCAAATGTTGAAGGCTAGTTTCTGAAGGAGTAAAGCTATACGCACTCCGGAGTGCGCTTCGGACGGAAATGGCTACACGCACTCTGCGGAGAGCTCATGCCGCTCGGGTCACCCTTTTCGAATGGCACGTGTATCGCTGGGGAGCCCGCCTGCGTTCCCCCCGCTTCGCGGCGACAGTGTGAGGCTGCTAATTACAAAACGTAACCAGTACACGCCGCTTCGCGGCGTCCAGCCGGCAACTTAAGCCCCGCTGTCCCCGATCGCATCAGGAAAGGGAGTCCCGTACCATTTAGTTTTGCGAAGTTTCGTCGGCAACGAATCTTTTAGTGTTCACCGGGAAAAAAAAAAAAAAAAAAAAGTAAATATTGCCAAATGCTTTGACAAAACAAAATGTTTGAGAAAACGAAACAAAAAGAAAGTGGGACCACCGCGGATCGAACCCACGTCCACTAGCGTACGAAGCTGACACCTTAACCACTACGCTATGCCACCGCTTAAAAGAATGAGTTGTTGTGACTATTCCTTTTATATGAGACTAGCGGAGTGCGTATAGCCATTTCCGTTTGAAGTGCACTCCGGAGTCCGTAGGCTTTATCCTTTCTGAAGTGGTGGTGTAGTGTAGTGGAAAGGTGTCTGCCTTACACGCAGCGGGCCCGGGTTCGAACCGCAGTGTGGGTTTACTTCTTTTTTTTTCTTCTCGATTTTTTTTTTGTCGGTATTTACATTTCTCTTTTACAATTATCTCTGAAAGACATGAAGGCATGTTGTCGACGAAACTTCGCTGAACTAAATGGCCGGAGGTGCAATAGGGCATAGCGGGTTTGGGTTGCTGGCTGGGCGGCGTGTACGGAGGGCTAAGTGGGTTAATAGGGAGTTTTCATAGACCGTTTTCGCCGTCCCGCAATGCCCTACGCAGCTTGCTATGATGTCGGAACTCTACAGTCAAGGGCATGGGCGCACAGGCGCAGTAGCGGCTTCTTCGTTGCAGAGGGCTTAGCGGTGAACGAAACATGGTCTACGAAAACTCCCTCTTAGTTTTGTAATTAGCAGCCGCATACTGTCGCCGCGAAGCGGCGTGAATGCAGGGGAGGGGGGGGGGGGGTGTTAACGAGCCCCCCAATGATACACGCGCCGTCGGAAAAGGGTGACCCAAATGGCACGAGCTCTAGCTCCGCGTTCCAGACGGAACTCTAGTAGCAGCTATCGTTCCGTCTGGAACGCTAGCCACACCGTACGTCCAAATCGCCGCCTTCCCTAGGTTCACAGGGGCGAGAGAGGAGGGTGGGGGAGAAGGTTAGGCATATCCATTTCAGTGCTCTGTCTGGACGTAACGCTAGCCACAGCGTTGGACGTAACGCTAGACACCTCTTTTTTTTTTACTTTTTTTTTGTAGGGCATTTGACAATATTTACAGTAAGCTCTCCACGTCGTGCGTATGGCCATTTCCGGTCAACGTGCACGAGCTCGTGCCTATAGCCTTTACTCTTCATTGAATAGGACTGATTTGAGCCAGCACATATGAGAACTGAAAAGAAGCTAAGTGCCTCTGGAGCTGATTTACTAACTATATAAAAATATTTTTGGGTTAGATATATGTGAAGCTAGTCCATGCGCATACATTTTACAGATGCTGGATTTGGTATTTGAAGAATACACTGACCTTGCTGCGGACGACGAAATACATGACATGGCTAAAATCACTCTCCTGCCCATTGTAACTGTCCCAGAGGGTGGGCCAGGCTCATCTTCCACTCAGGTATTTGGTTTTGCAACAAGTTCAAGGTATATCAAGCATTAATGAAAAAAAAAAAAAAAGAAACGGTTTATTACTAGGAATATAATCACAACTGTGATAGGCTGTGTCTATACGAGCGTTTTTTTAATTTTTTATTCTTTAAAAATTTTTTAATGGTGATAGCTATGTTAATGCCGCCTTCACTGTATGTTTGTGGAGCTTGGTGCCTGATTATGATTGGTAGAAAAGCGTCCTGTCACTTCTGTACGTCCGTCACTATCCAGCAAGTGTGACGCCGGCGCCTCCAGCAGACACGCTGTCTGTCGAGATAGTGGCGAAGGGCATGAAACACGGGCGTCACTTTTTTTTTTGCATCATAATCAGGTGCACCTTTCAGCGTGTGGTTTTGAGTTAAGCAAAAAAAGGAAAAATTAACAGATGAATATCTCAAAGCCTGTTGCTTTTTCGGGAACCGTGTCAATTGGGTTGGCTTTTATTAATGGCCACCTTTAAAACTACAATAGACCCTTTCCGGAATTCAGTCTGGCCACTTTGATCACTATCATCATCATCTGAAAACGCCATATGTGCTACACTAATGGCGGACTTCTGTTTACTGATGAAGGAAGTTGAAGATGCTCCTGAGCATCTTCATCTTCAGACCCTCAGGAGTCAGGGCCTGAGGACATTGCAGAGGGGAGTGTGTTACAAGGAGACATCAAAAGCAAACAAACAACAATCAAAAGCAAACAAACGACAATCTTAAGAATGAAAAAAATACATAATAATGAAATGCTAAAAGTTAACACTGTTAAGGCATCGTTTAGAAGCGATGGAATCGGATATGGATGCCACAGATGCTGGAAGGTGATTCCATAAGACCGTCGTCTGAGGTATAAATAAATTATAAAAAGTTGTAGTGTTACATTGAGGAATGCCCATCTGTGGATGGTCAAGAAATTATGATATGTAAAGAGGTGTCAGTAACTTGTCACATAGCAGAGGATTATAGTAATAAATTTTGTGGAACAGACACACTGTTAAGATTTCCACGTAATGCAAGGTTAGGTAGGTTCAAACTTATTTTCATTGATGTTACACTGGCAGTGCAGTGATAATTAGCAAGGATGAAACAAACAGATCTGTTCTGAATTGCTTCAAAAGCCAATATCAACACGTTAATGCCAGGGTTCCCAATTCAAGAGGCATATTCCAGCTTAGAGCGCACGAGCGTTTTGTAAAGAAGCACCTTGAGAGATAAGGGAACTGATGAGAAGTTCAGTGTGATTGTTCGCCTGCACTCAAGCACGTAGACCAAAGTATAGGGTGGTCCAAGTCACCAGGATCGATATAAAATGGATCATAGAAATCGACACCTGCACGTAGCAATCTAGACTTTTTGTCAGAGGTGTATTTCACATGTCGCTTTCCTTTTGTAAAATTAGAAAGCGTAGCTCTCTTTCTGTAAAAAATAAGGCCAAGAAACTTGCCAGGGTCTACGGCGGACAGTGACGCAGACGACAGGGGTCTAGTAGCAAGGTGTGTTTGGCGTTCGTATAGATTGATGGGCTACCTCCTTACTGCGACGGCTTGCGACCAAGGTTTTATAAAATGAAGATAATCTTTTTCAAATGTACCTTCGGTTAAAAAATAAATGCGGGCAATAAAAGCAGAACTTAAAGTAAAAAAAAATGTGTCTGCATAACGACAGCGCTTTTGCTGCCAACGTGTCGTCTGCTAGCTTTAGCTGGTCGGCTGCACCGTCGGACGCTGCTCCCGATGCCATCTATGAATACGATCGCCAAACACGCCCTGCTACTGGGCTTGGTCGTCTGGGTCGTTGCCTGCCGTTAACCCTGGCAATTTTCTTGGTCCTATTTTTTGTAATTTTACAAAAAAAAATTGACCCGTGAAATAGATCTTTGACGAAAGGTTTAGATTGCTACGTGCAGGCGCCTGTTTTTATGGTCCATTTTAGATCGATCCTGGTGACTTGGACCACCCTATATATAGAGTATTGTATCGGGCACATAGGGTTTTGTCGAGGGGGGGGGACCGCCCATGTCAAAATGGCATAGATGGGGGAGGGGGAGCGGGCAGGGAGAGGAGGTCCCAGCAAAACTGAGGATTTGGGGCTATGTGCTCGTATTGTATATGCAAGTACAGTTGCTGGTGGTGTGAGCTGGAATATGCAAGCGGTGACCGGGCTGCGCAGACCACATAGCCGCAGCAAGTGACTGGCCACAGCCTGGTCGTCACTCATGCTTTCCTGCTTATATCGCTTGCTAATGTATGTATCGAGGTCCTCGTTAGATAAACTTTGTTTCGTGTTAGTACTGGATACCAGAGCAGTTTGAGTGTTGCATTAGAAGGAGGGGGCCAGTCAGGGCCATGTCTTTTTCAAAGTGATATGGCTTGCATGCTCTACTGGACGGTGTTGCACTGTACTCCGCATATTATTCTTAGCATTGAACAGCATCTCTGTTTGACACTATGTGAAATTGCATGCTGTGCATGTTTGCATCTACCGAAGAGCTTAAGCTTCAAATTCGGGCTCAGATTATGAGCCACGAACCAAGAATACGGTGCCGAATTTCTGTATTATTGAAGACGAGCGTATTGGTGAAGGTTCATATCCACACACGAAAGGATAAGAAACGGAAGGTGGACAGGGCCGAAATAGGACCTCTGGAAAGATATCTTGGTTTGTTCTTGTCCACTGCGTTTTTTATTCTTTCATGTGTGCATATGAAAATTTTGTACATTACGATTTATACTGAATTCCTGAAACGGCGAGCATCTAGCGGCATTTATTAGTAATAAATACACCAAACCTTACTTATAGCATGTAAAGTACAAACCGTTATATCATTAAAACAGCCTGCTGGGGTCCTTAACACAAATCCAGTAACTTTACACTGCAGGGATTTCCTTTCGTTTTAGGAGGAGGCTTCATTGGAGACGGTGCGCACTGAAAACTGTGAAACCGCCCAAAGAGAGAGCTTGCCAGATGAAACTTCTCCAGATGACTCCTCTCCAGATGTACCATTGGTAGGCATCGAGCCCTTTGAGCTGTAAGTGTGTTTTAATGGTTGCGACTATAGAGGCTATGTTGTGATACAAGGCAGCCTCGAAATGCTTCTATTCCGCTGTCACTATAGAACGGCGGACAAAGTGGCATCAATGGAAACGCTCATACCAGCTGCACTAGCGTCTCACCGGGTGCCTACCGTACATGTGCGCTTTGCTTAGGGTGGTGACATCTAGCCATTTTGGTTCGCGTCTTTTTATTTATTGTTTGCTTGGATCACATGTCGGCTAGTAGCTTTACCTGCGCGGTGCCGTTTTGTTTCATCTACTTCTTTGACGCATCTCACGTACATGGACCATTGTGTTCTGCTGCGTTCCCTGGGCAATGGAGGAACCAGGCACGTATCCAGGGGGGCCCATGGGGCCCGGCCCCCTCCCCCCCCCCCCCAATATCTTCCATTTTGCTGGGGCCTCCTCTCCCTCCTCCCCCTCATACAGCATTTGGCCTCTGCCCCCCCCCCCCCTCCCTCCCTCCCTCCCTCCCTCTTCCGAAACAAGACCCTGGCTAAGTGCCTGGGAGGAACACGGGCGCTTCACAAGACTGATACACGCATGTGTCCTCACCACATGCAGTTTATTCAGGGAACACAGAGCTGATAGCTCAGGTGGTAAAGCACTTGGCTCACACACAGTAGGCCCATAGTTCGATCCCTGGCAGCGGCAAAGTGTAACAAATGTTTTAGAGCATTCATCAATATCGACGACGGTTTCTCTACACCATCATTTCAAAGGGGGGTGAAGAGCCCATAACAGCTATCGCTTTAAAATGAGGTTGAGAAAAAGCATGTGAGACGCCTATAACATATTTATTGTATTTCTGTTTTTTTTTTTATATGCTTCTACATAGCAACATTTTTTTTCTTTTTTTTTTAATAATCATTTTCTTATAAAATAATTGCACTATTTTTAGGCCTTCGTGTTCAGACGACGATGGGAACACCTTCATTTTCCCCAAGCTTGGAGCTCTCCATGATACGATCATCTCTGGCAAACCTCTGACATCTTCATCATTCCGAAAGATTGTGGAGCTCCTCTTTCGTGCAATGGTGAAGATAACAATGTAAGTAAGGTGGTCTCAAAATTCGGACTTATTCCTAGCTTCATCATTTCCAGTTCCTTTCATGGGTGACTTCTTTGTGGGCACCGGTCAACCTTTGTCTTGCTGTATCTTTCTGTATCCAGCTAAACCTATGTCTTAAATCACAGTATCGAAGCAGGTGAAACTGATTTTTGCAATATATTTGAAGTGGGTTTAATCCCTCTAACCCTCCTTGTATACAAAAAAAAAAAAAGTAATTCGGAAAAAAAGCTAGGTTGCTTCTTTCTGGTCCTTATCTTGCCAAATTTTGTGCAGTGGTAAACATAGTAGATTGATGGCTTATTTGCGTTGTTTCACAAGTGCATCTTTGTGCTGAATTTTAGGCTTCTTGGTCGAGACCGCTGCGCCAAAAATGAAATTAGTCAGTTCAGGCTAGAGAAATGTTTGGTTAGTTAGGTCACTTCTTGTCATTTGCTAGAAGCAATCCATGCCCTCGCTGTATTTACAGGTGTATGTGTTGCTGGTGTGTAAAATTAATGGAAGCTTTAAGTAACTTGCTCGTTTTCCTTCAATAGGACAACATGTCTCTTTGTCGAAATTCATATTACAAGAATTTGCTAAGCGGAAAATGTGTAGATATTCCTTTTTTTTTTAAATATCTGAAAATTTGGTGCGACTAGTTATAATCGATTGGGGGTCATTGGCATGTTTAAAACATTGATGCACTGTGTACCATCTGAACAATACCTTGCATCTTCCTCGCGTAGGCTCAGTCTGCATACGGGACCTATTGATTCACAATGTGGGTTATAATATTAGAGATTGTTGAGCCATAAGAATGGGCACGACTTTTCTGCAGGTTCCCATCTCAGCACTTTTACTCCAAGGTCACTCAGCTACTAACTGACAAGTACCCTCAGCTCCAAGATGTTATAGGAACTGGATCAGTAAGCACATTTCTTTTGCACGTTTATAATAATAGCTGCGATCAATTCTTAGCATTGGTGCTTCTATACATCTTTCCAAAAAACGCTCCTAGGCCGCCGCCATGTTGCTGATGCTGATGCAGCTGGCCCTCTATCAGCTAGAAATTTTCTGCCACCCTCTTGGACTGTGAACACCCGCTCAGTGCGGTTCTCTACCTGTTTTGGCGGTTTTGCATTCAACGTTTTCTCGCCCCTCTTGAAAGTTCCCACTTAATTTTTTTTATGAGTGCTGCATACCCTTTCTGTGTTATCTTCCATTGTGATATATAAGACTGGTAAGTGCCTGCCATTCAAGCTTTTCTGCTCGACATTCATGGGAAACGAAGGAAGTGATGGACGTCGAACTGCCCTCAACGCGATTTTGCAAACATTCTTCTCCCCCCTCCCAGAGATAATCCGCATAGAATCCTCGGTCATCTCCAAAAATAGTTGTCTGGGTTGGGGTGGGAAACGGGTCAGTCGCGTTTGTTCCTTTACCTTGGTGCTTTAGTGAAAAAGAAAGCTCTCCCCAGCTCAAAGGTGAAAAGAGTATAGCTGGACGCCATAATTTCATTCCTTGGCGCAGGAACGATTCCCTTGGTAGGCTCCCAATAACTGATATCGCAGCAAAAATGCTATGGCTGGACCTAAATTTAAATTTAGATAGTTGTTCAAGCTGTGGTATTTCTTTATTTTACAGGACTCGTGGAGAGTAGCACTGCGGTACAAGTTCAAAAATGAAAGACGTCGCCTCTCAGACGACGTCCGGGTTGCTGAAAACCGTGCAAAATTTGGATCAAAAAGACCAAATGATGGAGGTGCAGCCACACAGCTGAAGCGGCAAAAAAAGATTAAGCTGGTGAGGGGCAATGTTTAAACTTTCCGGGATAAACTTGGAAGATCAAAAATTGCTGATGTGGTTCGGATGCGGATATCGTGTCTGCATAGTGGATGATCAAATTGTTATCTACGCATGGTTTTCTTTCTACTCATCAGTGTCTGCCTTAGAAATCAACGAAACGCTTCCATCAATCAGATAACGCGAATCGGGAAAACTACAATGGTTTATCCCGTCTCCGCGAGTAGGTGGAAGCATGAAATGCTTTCGAGTGGAAAGGATTCGGAAAGATGATGATGGCAGGGAGCTCGATTCATTCCGATTCGATGGTTGGCACTCACTGGAAGCTCACCTGAGATTGGAGCTCACCTGGAAGCTCTCAAGATCCCAGGCGAGCTTCCATTAAGTGTCAATCAGTGATTTGGAACCAGTGGAGCCTCCTGCAATCGTCCTTCTTCTTGGGTCCTTGTCTCACAATGTCCATAAGATCTGAGAACATGCAGCACTCTAATGAGCAGAAAGAGTACTACCCTTGTCGCACTATGGTTTTCGAGATCACTGGCACGTAAAGCTCCTTGCACATCGCCAAAGAGCTTTGCACATGAGCAATCTTCAAGACTTCGTTAACACTACAATTTCTTCCTGTTGTGCGACGGCCATGTTCAGTAGCATACTTGAAAACCTTAATCTTCAAACCGCATGTTAGCTAATGTATGAAACCATCGTGGAAACCCCACGATCGTGCTGTTGGGGCAACCATAAGCTATAGACATTTGCAGAAAAAGCTCTCTGGCCGCCGCCATTTTGCGAACCAAGCGGCCCCTACCAGCCATAAATTTCTGCCACCTGCCTGAGCTGTGGAAACCCGGTCAGCATGACTCCCCAGCTGCATTGTGCATTCAGAGTTCGCCAACTTTTCTTGGAAATTTTTACTTTATTTGCCTGTTTAGGATGCTTACCCTTTGTGTGCTATCGTGCACTGTGAGAACCAGGGAATACCAGGGCTCATAGCCTGCTCGGCCTTCGCAGGAAACAAACGAAGAGAGTGAACGTCAAGCAACTCGCGAGTCGTGACGGAGGCAGTTCGACATTCTTGAAGGATTATTTCCGTTGAGATAATCTCCAGAAAGCCTTCCCGACTTGTGTTCCGAGTCTTCGCGAAAAATAGCTGATAGGGTCGGGTCCGGAGTGTTTGCTTTGAAGCTGTGCAAAAAAGCAGCTCTCTTCTACATGTGCCCAAAACACGCCGGATTCCGTCTGATCGTCGTGAAGTTACTATCGTCGACACTGTTTATTGGATATGCTGTGTTATTTGAGACCTTTCTCAAATCCTGTTCGGATAACGCGGCATTGTGGGGTACGTACAATATATGTTGTTCGATTGATGAGACTCGTTGAATTTCATTTTGTGGGTGAGTAAATCTATGCAGTTTGAATATCCTGTGCGGTCAAATATTTTTGACGGTTAAGATCTTTGTAGATTGACAAGGCGGAGTGTATGGTGCCGTAAAAAGACCAACATAAAATAAAACAAACATCCCAGTTGCATTCGTTCTGTCGCTCACGGACTCACCAAAACAGCTTTCGTTGCTTTGTTTTTGTTCTCAAAAATAGTACAGAGCATTCTTAAAAACCCCGAGAAATTCTATTTGCCATAGAATACAAAAGAAAAATAGAACACGGCAATTTAGCCTCCACCAGCGCCCGAAAGTGTGCCCACGCAGGCTGCCACAGCCCACTGACGAGAAACTCCACAGCTCAGCGCAGTCTGGCAACACTGACTTATCCTCTCAAAACCAGGGATGCCTGCTGTAAATCGCTTCGTTCGAGACTGCCGCTTGAAAGGTCTATAGGCAACTTTCAAAAATCCTGCCATGCAACATTGCATGCGTTGCACGCTCGGAACAGTTGGCTGCGAAGCTGAGTGACATGGTTTCAGTCGAACAGGCGTTGTCTCTGCTTGCGCGACGAAACATGTGCAATCGCAAGTATGCTGAAGTTTCTCTCGCGTAAAACATCAACCAAGGCACCTGCAATTTTTTTGCTTAAAACCTGGCATGCTCGAAACCAATAAAATAGTGGCCAGTGTTTTTTTAATTGCTTGGCGACATTTATGGTATTTTACACTTGTGGGATGTCTCAGTTGTGAAAATGAAGTAGCGAGTTCCATTATGACACAATAATCATGGCAAATATCTGAAGCCGGAACTAAATGGCCCGCTAGTACCCGGAATTCATTTCTTGGCATCTCCTCACCAGGGGCCGCCCCGATTCGGAAAAAAGCTTATTGCAAAATGGCGGAAGGTTCATTTCTTCCCACGACCCCGGCTTGGCTTGGCCACCTGGAGATGGAGGTCGTTCCTTCCCATGATCGTCTAGCTGTTTATCGCTCAAAGTGGCGCATAAAAAAATTTGAACGTTCCCACCTCGTGATACAAAGTTGGGGGTGCATTTATTGAGCAAGGTGCAAGGAAATATGTTATATATTTTTATCTGGACTGTTTCCTTTTTTATATTGTGTGTTTTCTACTGTTTGTGCTCCCGTAGGGTAATGCCTTGGGCAATGTTAGGTCAAATGATTGAATTCAATTTTACCTTATCAGAAATTTTGGCATGCTAAGAGCATCAAGCACTAAAAAGGTAGTCAGTTGTTGTCCTTCTGTTAATGAATATTCATGTCTAAATCGCGCCCTTTCGATCATGCCTCTCAAGAACATCACTGCTTCGGCTTTGGCTGGAGAGGACGAAGCCAGCCTGATCGCCCATGAGGAATGGCTTATACGAGAAGGACGAAAGGCAGCTCTTGATGAAAAAGGAATCCATGAAAGGATGACTCTCACTGCGAGGAAGAGGCTCTCTGACATGGCACAAATGGGCATTGATGCTGTTAGGACAAGGTACCCATACCTGATGGACTCTCAGCGAGTGAGTCATTGCTGCTACTCTTCCGCTTTATTGAATACGAAGGTGTTGTTGACTTTTTTTTTGTACTCTTGTTTGAATACAGAAACTCTTATTGAAGGGACACTGACAGGGTGTTTATGCTCGCCGATGTTTTTAGTTGTACATGGCTTATGAGAACCCAACTGCCCAGAACAGAATTTGAGGCTCAAAATTCAGTTTCTTTCCGCCCGAGGACCGCCACGAGAACTGGCCGGTTCGAGTTGCGCTCTCTCTCTTTGTGATCACGGGCTGTTTTCTAAGGTTTAGACACAACCACCAAATTTAATCAAAGTCGTGGGTCATTGAAGGCACACAGTCAATATTAAAAATAGCAAAAAGATGAAACCCTTTTTTTGTGACTTCTAAAAAGCTGTTAATAAGATTATTGAGGAAAAAAAAAGTTGCACAGAGAACCGGACGCATTCTGTGCATTTCCTCGTTCAATAGCCCTTTTGCGAAATCCCCCAAGCGCCCTGGCCCGCGCGCGAGGAATTGTGGAAGAGACTGTCCCTGGCCTGGCCACTCTGCCTTGAGATCGCATTGCCTCGTCGCTCGTCTCCTCATAATCTTGTTTTTTGATTTCATTACCTATTTTTATATGTTCAAGTGTATATTTATTGGTTCTAAGTGTTTCTATTTTCTTCTGTGCGCAGTATTTTTTGCATATATATAGTTTTTGTCTTTATTATGCCTTTTTCGACGGGAGTGCTGACGAACAACAGGCCGCTTCGCGTGTCGTTCTCCGGGTGAGTGTTATCGTTGCTACTGGTTCCTGTCGTGCTGTTAGCTGTTCATTTTGGTTCACTTGACCCGCGTGCAGTCGTGAGGAGCCGTTTATGAACACCCACGCAGATGTCATAGGGGTAGGCAGACTCTAAATCAAGAATTGCGACGCGAGAGCAGAGTGCGCTGTGATTTAGCCGCCCGCGCCTGCTCCGTTGACTCGCAGTGCAGCGTATGCCTTCGGGTGCCGCTTGCTTGACCAAGATACAGCAAGCTGCTTTGTCGCTGCGAACCATTTGTCCGAATGTTTGCAAAGCTGAGGCATATGCAACGCTGTGGCGTTTGACAACTGCGCGCTGCGGTGCGATCCCTTTG